GAATAGTGCCGTATCTCAGTAGTCAAAGCGGTAGCAGGAAGCTGCTCTGGATGGCGTCAGATAGGCACCTTTACATTTCTTAAGGCTAAGTCATGTTTGTGCTTGTCCCCTTCCTACCTGAAAGGGCACTTGGGACTGGTGATCTTGTCCAACAGGTATATCAGTCCTAGGGAATCTTTCTGGAGTCATCGCTGGAGCTGGATTAGGCATAATCTGAAGGCCTGCACCAAAAATTTCAGGCAAAATCCTGCCAGTTCCATAGCCCTTAGCACTATGAGCGAAGCTACTGTTAACATTCCTGTTCTCACTCCACAGCTTCACATGGAGTTTGTCTGCAGCGTAATAGCTCTCTGAGCGCTTCCGCTGGCATTTGCAGTCCTGCTTGCCCTCCAGCCCAGAAGCTTTCTGTCAGTGCATTTTAGTGAGTTTCTCTCTCTCTGGTTATATCCAATGCAATGTCTGTTCAGAGATGACCTACTTGAGTAGTGAATGTAATAAGAATTAAGGACACTTGGAGAAACAGTTTTTACTGCCTTAAGAGCTCTGTATTTAAAAACAAACGATCACACTGGTTTGCTTCCATGCAGCAGGCTTCGTCATGCATCACACAGTTACACAAGGCCTTAGCAAGTCTTTACTAGTTGATAGCTTTTAATTATTTTTCCCCTAAAGGTGTAGGTAGCTTATCTGCAGTTGGGCATGGCATAATTGGTGTCCTGGGATTTCAGTCTTGAAAACACCAGCATGGGAAGCCTTGCCTACCAAAGGAACATCACTTACACCATGGATACTTGTAAGAACCCAATCTCTGTCTCTGCTTGAGAGAGGATACTCAGGTGTATCCTCAAATTAAAGGGCCTGGTGTGACACCGGATCAGGCTGCTACATGTTCAGATCACCATCTGCAGAGCAGAAGCCTATGAAGCACTGCACTCAGCATCTCCAGCACCCAGATCCCAAAACATCGCAGTTAATGCTATGAGCCTGGACTCGGTCCGAGGACTGGTTGTATGTGCTGGGAAGGGCCCTTAGGTTTCCAGTAAAAAAACAACAACACGCTTTTCCTGTTGGTGATAGGGACCGAGTTAAACCAATTTGGGCAATACGAAGTTTATCCATTTCCCACTGCCTTAGTTGCAAAACCAAGCATGAGACATCCTCATCATTAATGTCTCATTCCAGTTATTGCAGACATAGACCCATAGTAGAGCTGTTCATCAGCTCAACGTTTCTTCTCAGTCAGGCTTGTGTGGGAGAAGGAAGTTGACAAAACAGATAAGCTATCTTCTTGGGAGTGTTCTTGGCCACAGTTTTAACTACAGAATTCTTGGGGGTTTCTTAAGAAAATGACCCATATGGTCATTTTGCTTTTAATCATGGTTGGTTCCTGGTGGTAACTCTCAGATGCATCCATCGCCCTGTTTTTCTCTTCTCAGTTATGATTTAATCTCTAACCTTTGTACCTATTCTTCAAATCCAGGCCATGCTAGTAATAAGGAAAATTGGAAATATAAATTTGGTCTGGAAAGGCTTGTGCAAAGCAGATTGAGTTTTACATTGTTTCCTGAGTAGGGGGAAAAGCGTCTTTACATTTCTATTTAAAAACAAATTCTTCCTCCCTGCCTTGACTCTCTTCCTGTGGTGGTTGTACTGTAACCTAAGGTGAGCTAAGAAAGGGCTGAGTTTAGAGATTTGAGTCTTTAGCAGTTAGGTATTCCTGTTACTCAGTTTTGTAGTCAATAGATGGTGCTCAAAAATAGAAAATCCCATACCAGCTGCTATTAGTACTAGCAAATCACCAAACATTTGCTTTAATTGGGTTAATTTAAAGTCGGGAAAAAAGAACAGAAGAGGGTGAAAGGCCTGTCACAACTTCTGATGGTACAGGCAATTTTGAGGTGCCTGCATTTGCAAGAACCCAGCTTGAGACCTCTTAAGGAAAAAAAAAAAGCCTAACTTTCGAAGTGTGCACCCCAAAAGACTCAGAAAACCAGATTCCCTGAAGATGGGTCAAGCAGGGCATCTGAGAGGAGGGGTACCACCAAAAGAATCACTACCCATGTTTGTAAACCACCTTCTTGTTTCTTTTGGAGAATATTATGGTCTCTGATGCCAACCTAAAAAATGAAGTGCACTGCCAAATGTGGCTTATTTGACTGCTGTAAACCCTTATTAGGCAGCTCTACCCTTACCCACTCCAGCTGTAACAGTTAGAAGGGGCTTGGATGCCTCTTTATAAAAGCTAACAAAGCCTTTGTGTGTGTTTGCCTGCTGTGTGGCTCCCCAAATCATGGCACTGCAGCCTGGCATTCCCAGTCACCTCTCATTAATAGCAAGCTCTGGCATGGCTGCTAATTTCCCTGAGGAGTGGAGGGGAGCCCACTTGATGCCCTTGTTCAAAGTGCTGGAGGCTTTTGACTCCACACCTGGTAAATCAGCACAAAGAGGCCCAGGACAGGATAGTTCACTGAGTCCTGGTCAAAAGCTTAAAGTACTACCTGGCTCCAAAGTTTTGCTGGAAATGGCGCTGTGCCTTTTCCCATGCTGAGACTTTGGTGGTTGAATGGAAGGATTCAGGATTAATTAATGGTAATTAAGGGACTGGGCTAAGACTCAGAACATTTTGATTCCTGACTCTGCCACATCTCCTAGGCAAATCACTTACAAGAAGACATTGTTTCCCTCCACTGCCTGAGCTCTCAAAGGGTGAAAAAGGATAACCCAGGGTGGCTGGTTGGGACCTTGGGAGGTTGTGCAGTCCCTGCCCCTGCTCCAAGGCAGGATGAAAGGCACCATGGTTGTTCCTAGTGCCTTCTCGAAGAGCCCAGCACTGGAGGTGCCGCAGTCTGCCTGGGCAGCCCTTGACTGATGTGGGGTCTCAGGTGAGAGGGGAAGGTTGGGGATAGACAGGATGTGTGTCACGTTGTGGGCAACGTGGGTTTCTGCATCACCTTGTGGCCACAGCTGTGTGGTTGGGTAGATTCCCCCGCTGCGGGGTGGGGGGGCTCTGTCCACCCTTGCAGCGCCTCTGAGGCACCCTGCTCCTTGCCTGGTAAGGTCATGAGGAAGAGTGGAGGAGATACTTGTAGAAGCGATAAGCATGCAGGGCAGGGGGCTGTGCCACCCATCACATTGCAGGTGTAACCTCCATCACACGGCTCATATCTTCACTTATTTGCAAATAGGAATAGTAATGCTTACATGTTGCCATTAGTGTTAAAAGAATATTTTTGTCTTACTAGCCCCTTCAAAGAGGGAAATATTTTGTCTGATATTATCTTTCAAAAGAAAGAGAATGTAGGGAGACTATCTTCTTTTATCAGTCTGAATGTGACAAAACCTGGAGCATTCTCTCTGTACTACCAGTATATATTTCCTGCCATTACAGAGAGCTGTCTGGGTAAAGGAGCGAACTGCAGAGATGCCTCAGACTGCAGCCTGCCATTTTTTAGCTGGTAATATACTATTAAGTCTATTTATGTAAAGATAGATTAGCTAGGATCACTGGAGTTGAAAATTCTATTTTCTCCTAATGAACTGGACATAGAAAGCTATCAAATCATATTAAATTATTCAGTAGGAAATCTAGCTTGTGTTCCCCTTCATCTCTGGACATGCCTGAAATGTGAGGTCTAATCTGATTTTCAGACAGTATTTTCAAAACCAGTGGGCTTTTCATGTAGCCTTTGCTATGATCACTCAAAGTATTTAAAAATGTCTTTTTTTTTTCCTCTCGCTCTTGTTTTGCTTTGCCAGTGGGTCAGCTTCAGTCTTATGAGAAGCTACATACTGTTTCAGAAAAGTACTGACTACTGATTGTGAAAATTGAAGTAAACTTCAAGAAATTTCACTAAATGGGTCATGATTTTGGGACTATATGTATTAAGATACCTGAAACAGAATTTGTCATGAGATGAAAATGAGTCGGTCCTATTAGGAGTCTTTGTACTCCTTCTTTTCTCCATAATAGGCACGATTCCTTATGTAGAATTTAGCAAATTGGTCCTGGGACCAATCAGCTTGTCAGGTAGGTGGAGAATAATTATTTATAGTCCTACCTGGAGAAACTGGTCTGTCTCGTCATCTCTTTAACCTCCCTCTCCTCTTTCCTAAGAATTTTCCAACATGGAGTTGTTGTCTTCAAAGGGTCAAAGCAACATCAGTGATGTTGGTTGGCATGCAAAGTCTAAAGACAGTATGAGATCGAATGGAAGTGCAGTCGGAGGGGAACCTCCGAAAGACTCTTCTCTTTGTTGCTTTCAATTTGCAGCAAATTGCAAATTCTGAGCAAATATGTAAAGATGAGAGGAAACCACTTGAAATGCTTCCATCTATGGCTTTCCAGCTCATTGGTCTCTATCAATGTTTGTTGTACAATGCAAATGAAAAGAAAATAGATGAAACTGCCAAATCCCTCTTTTTTTAAAAAAAATTTTTATTTTGTTTCTGCTTTTAAAGATAAGCCATGCTGATCTCAAAACACATGACCAAAGGGTCATCAGGTGGTTGCAAAAATTTGGAAAGGAATTTGAGGGGAAACTGCAAAATAAGGTTTGTTTTTAGTACAGCACTGTGGGAAAACATTGCATTTCAAGTTTCAGTAACCCTTTCCTGTCCTCATGCACCTACTTCAGGGGTTTTGCGGGGGGGGGTTGGTTGTTTCTTTTTCTTTTAAATTTAGCTTTACCAAACAGGTCAGACTGATACTGATTTGGTAAAAAGTTCTGAGGGCCATACTCGAAAATACTTTTGAAATTACCAGGCTTCACTCTTGTGTTAAATCATGTGCCATGCCTTACACCCCTCCAGCTACTAAAACAATCAAAAGCTCAGGCAGGTCAACAAATCCATCGACTGAGGTTACTCATTCATTTCACTGCAGTTCCCAAACCGGAACCAAACACACGCAATGTTTCACTGCAGGTCTCAGCTGGGACTCTGCTAACTTTCCCCTTTGGGAGCACTTTGAGTCCGCGATCAGCACACATTCATCCATTTACCTTGATGCTCTTGAGATCGATTGCAGGTTCTTTGGGTTTAGCTGGTGCAGGTGCTGGCGCTGGCGCTGGTGCGGGTGCTGGTGCTGCGGCTGCCGCTGGTTTCTTTACATCCTTCTTTGGTGCCATTTTGTATTGCTTAAACTTGAAAGTAAAGGTGCCCCCCCAAAAAACCTTTTTTTTTTTTAAAAAAAAGAACAAACCTTAAAAGTGATTCCTGGGAGAGGAGCAGTGGTCAGAATGAGCTACAGCCTGTGCCCTGGAGGTGGACCCAATGTGCTAAACTCTATAAGGGCATATATATATTTCACTTAGTGCCTCGTACAGTCCTGACACATGCAGCTGGATTGGACAGCTTGCTAATCAAGGGGGATGTCATTCCAGCTCGAGCTATAAATGGAATATAAGAGTTCAGGGCTTCATAAGATCAAGGGACCTCGGTGGCTTTTTTCCCCCTCTTTAAAAACCCCAACCACCTCCCCTGTATTTTTTTTTTAATGCGTGCAAAGGAGAGGGAAATATGACAAACCCAGTTTCAGATCTGCTGTTGACATTTGGGCATGGATTGAACAGTCCTTTTTCTCATCAGAATTTCAGTTCTGCTTAAGTAATAAATCTTTCTTTCCTTCCCTCCCCTTTTCTCCCATGCCTGTGTAGCGTTCCAGGAGGATTCAGTTTCAAGTAGGAATTTTGACTTTTATGGCTGGAAAGATCATCAATTTCCAACCTCATTTGCCTCTCTTCCCCACAGCCCCTCACTCCTCTGCTTCCTTCTTTTACAAGGAAGTGTTGATCAAGCAAAGGCTCTGGGTGTTTAAAAATAAAGCAGACAAATATGGAAAACACTGCAGTACCTTCAGCCAAGGCATCTCTCCCAGACCCTGAGTGTCTTTCAGCTGTTCTTACTATTCCTTTCTATCATGTTAAGACTGTGTTGAAAATTGAAAATTGCTTCCTTTAATCTTTTCCTTTGATCTTCTTTTTCCTCTCTTAGAGATAAGCTGTGCCCTGATAGCATGGAGATCAGCTGGATGTTATGTTTTCCCACACAAAAGGTTTCCTTTTGTAATGTGTTTATGATTGGAAACTAGCCATCAGGCAAAGGAGGCACTTCTGTTTTCACCTTGTTTGCAGGCCCATCCTGTGTCTCTTGTTTATCTTTCCAGCCCTCAGTCTCCTGATGGACCTCCCTGCTCCTCATGCTCTCCAGGAGACACAACTTTCAGGAGAAGATGGGTTTTCTGTTTTCAGTAGACTTTTTCCAGCACAGCAAAACAGCTTCTAACTCTTTCAAACCTGTTGGTTCCCCCCGGTCCATATGATTGAGGTTTTCTGCAGAAAAATCCAGGACTGCTGATTGTTCCTCCCTTGTCCAGCAATCTCTCTCTGATTTACTCTCCAGACTCCTGAAGTTCTGTGCTAGTAAGTGCAAGGCTTTTGATGGGGCCCTTATTTCTGTCTCATGAACTACACTGTGGAGTGTTTTGTAATTAGAAATTTAGAGTCTGAAGGCCTGGACAGACACTTTGCATCTAAAGTTTGGCAGGGTATCCAAGCACTTGCATTTTAGATTAATGTGTTTTAAGGAAGGTAAACTTACAAAAATGCACACCAAAAAAAGGGATGGAGAGTGGCTAAAGGTGTATTTTTATATAAGAAAACCTGTGCTCAGAGCTCTTCTTTGCTACAGCCCATGACCTTGAGCAAGAGACTTTTTGGAAGTTGAGTCATCTCTTTTGAATCAATTGACCTATCCTGATGCATACAATTTGAAGCCTTGGCTCAGCCTGTGCTTTAGAGAACACAGACCAGGAGAGATTTTATTTCTTTTTTCTGCCTTTAGTTTTGTGAATGCTTTGGGACAAAGAGCCTGTGATTTGGGACAAATGAGCTCTGCTGGCTGCCTTCAAGGTGCTTGATGGAGGGATCCCTGCTCTGCTGGTGTGCCTGGATAGGCCATGGCATGGCCTCTCCTGCACCACTGCAGGTTAGCAGGAGCCTGTGGGCTGTCATCCCCGAGGGGCCTAATGAGGGCATCTCCAGTGATGCTGATGTTTTACATTGCACAAGCCAAACTTTAGCAAAATCCACCATCAGAAATGGATCCTGGAGGTATAATTTGGGTCGAAATAGTCTAAAATAATTTTTATACATCTCTACACCTATGAGAACTTTAAGTAATTGCAAGAAAGAACCAGTGATGATCTAATCATTTCTGCAGTCACCTGAGGTTTGCAATGAAATAAGCCTGAAAGCCACCATCAAATATATTTTAAAAGGAAGACAGGCTTTCAAAAAGGAAGCATGAACTTAGTGCTGGCTGCGCACACTGTGGCCCGTCTAAGAACGCAGATGCGCCTGGACATGCTTCATGCTGCCAGAAAAGGAGGTTTTGTGAAGAGCTGCCACAAAATAATTGTGTATTGATCAGGTGAGAAGATAAACAGGTGCAAAGGAGGAGGAGGATGGCAGGTCCTTATTTCAGTTGCTGGGTTAAGGATTTGGATCCAGTCTGTTTTCTGGGCTTGGGACAGGACACCATGGGATTATCTGCCTGAAGCGTAGATGTGTCCCAAGACATCTCTGGGAGTGCATCAGGTCTGTCCCTAGGGAGCGAAGTCGTCCCAGGTGGTGCAGAGGAGATGTGTCCCTGTGTTCTTGCACCGGAGCTACTGTTCGCAGGTCTCTGGTGGTGTCGTACCATCTCGCCCTGGGCTGCAGAGCTGGTTCCAGGGGCTGCAGCAGGAAGGCTTCTCTTCCGCTTTTAGCAGCAGCTTCATGCAAGCAGGAATACTAGAGCAAACCCCCAGCCTCTCCCTTGTGCTTGCGGGGACTTGCCGAGATCTGCTTCTAAGGGAAAACGGCAGCAGCTGGGGATGCGAATTATCACTGGCATCTGCCTCATCGGGTGCATAGCTCCTGGGGAGTGTATGGATGCTTCTCTCCTGCAGGAGAATCCATGTTGAGAGGAGGCATAATGAATGATGACGGAGCTTTAGATTTCACAAGGCCCCGGAAAATCCAGTAGTGAGAAAGCTGTTGGTTGGAAACCATGCCCTGTTAGTCCTGCTACCTCACTGAAACAAGGGTCAGCTTGCTTGGGGCTTGCCTGGTTTTTACAAACGGTTTAATTGATGAGGATGCGGTTCTGGCCAACACAAAACTTTTATGCATTTGGGCTGCATTTAGTTGAATTAATATAAAGGAAGTGTGTGTTTTCCATCTGGAGCATTGACATAATTCATTCTGACACTTCTGAAGTGGAATATGTTCCTTTTTGCAGGCTAAAGTCACATAGAGGTGGCATTGATTGCAGCACCAGAATGGAAGTGGGAGTTCCTGTGCTGGGCTGTACTCGCTGTGCAATTACTCTGAAGTCTCTGCCTTTCTAGTCCAGTTTTAACAGGATGGTTCTGTCTCAGGGTTTCCTATAGCCCAGGGAGTCAGGCACTCCTCCAGGAGGAGGGAGACGATGGTTTAAATCCATGCAGTGAAGTAGGAGACTAGATCTCCCATATTTCAGGGGAGTGTGCAAGCCATGGAGTTGTTGGATGAAAGGGTGAGCGCTGCTGCTTCTGCTGTTTCACAATGACCTCCCTCTGATACTTTTGCCTTTTGCTATCTAAAATGCCTGAAAATGCAATTAACTTCCCATTTTGCCAATAACTTAAAAACAAGGCACTTGTTTTTTCATTATCCACATAGGAACTTTATTTTCCTTTTACACTTTTGATACGTCCACCAAGCCACACATGCTATAATGACTACCCAAGAGACACTGCGACTAGTTGCAGTGTATCTGTAGTGTTGCGCAGGGGTCAGAAGGTAAAGCATGCTTCTTCCAGGGTAAGTTTGCTCAGAAGAGCTTAGGCCAGTGGTTTCCTTCTGGGTGCTTTGCTCTGCTCAAGATAGCCAGGGCAGCCAGAGGGCTGGTTTAGGAGGCCACAGAGGAAGAGATCCTTCTTGGGCAAGATCATGCTAATTTATATGCTACTACTCTATGACCAAAAATGCCGTTGCGAGTTTAGTCCATCTCTGAGTGCCTGCTTCAAATGTGGTTTCCTTGCTTTGTTTTGTGAAATTGTTGGTGAGTTCATCACAGGATGCCAGATCAAGCACTAGGGGAAGTGTTGTTTGTCACTCAGAAGGCTCTGATGGGAGTTTGCTTTCAGGCAAGGTGTGTAACACTAAGAATACAGACAGTGTTTACAAATACCTAAGGACAGTCAACCTATTCCAATCTCTTCTTGGAGCCTTTCTCCTGTCCCATGCACACTTATCTTCTATCATTTCAGCTGTCTGACATGTTCTCTCTTTCCTGTGATCAACTCCTATCTGACACCTGTTGCTGTTAAATATTTGCCATGTTCTTCTTCTGAAGGTTGGGTGGCTGCAA